GGGGCTGAAATAATCTGACTGTCACGAAATAGAACAATAAGCCTATTACGCTTCTTTGAAGCATTCAGACGCTGATTAGTCGACTATTTGACTTGTGTGACGAGACTGTGCTTATATGTAAAGTATTTAAAGATGTAACAAACACGCAAAATAAAGCCATTTCAACTGTTGTTTTTTTAGCCCGGGCTGAAATTATTTGCGATTACATGGTGCCTGGCTGAAACTCAGCCCGGGCTGAAATTTCAGCTCAAACCGGGCTGAAATTTCAGCCCGGAACTGGAATTTTGGTCATGTAATCGCTTGCTCTGTTTTAATAAGATTTATCCTTAGGACTTTGTCCAAATCCGCTAGCGAATATGGACCGTGGAGTCCATATCCTCTAGCGAATATGGACCTATGCGGGTCTTTATTCGCTAGCGGATTTGGACTCCTCTCGCGAATTTGGACCCCTCGCGTATTTTGTCATTGCAACGTATCGTATTTTGAATATTGTACTGAAAGCGTTTTCTTTTCAAATGTTAGATTTTTAGATAGGAGAATTCCGTCAAAGTTTATGATTTATAATTTTTTGGTACATGGGTTTATTTCTATGATCTTGGAATGTGCGAGAACTGAGAAGCGCATAAAGCCTTCACAAGTATTTTACTCCTTGGAATTGCTATCTGCTCTGACTTTTAAGGATAGTCTCCACTCAGGAAAATTAGAACAACAAACAAGATGTTATCTTTCTTTGTGTTAAAGTCATTAGTTCCAACCCACAGCTCACACGACAAAGAAAAATTTTCTTGTCCGTTCCAAACCACGGATAATTTTCCTGAGGGAAGCTAGCCTTTAACTGCTCAAATAAAAACGGAAAATGACAATATACCTGGGGGTCCCTATCCGCGATCCGCGGGGAGTCCAAATCCGCTGTGACACCGGGAAACCTGGATGAAACACAGCCCGGGCTCAAAACTCTCCATGTAATCAGCCCCTTTCAAAATCACATTGTCCACTATTATATTAAAACTTATGGAGATTAAGCGTTACACGTTTACGCTTATGTCATATTTGTTTCCTTCTATATTTCGTGCAAAAAAAGATCAATCGTATTCGCTTCTTTCTGCATGCATAAAGTCGATTTTCCACTTCGCTTTTTCGGCGTAAAAATGTTCTTTACACAATTTTTTCCTATTCGAGGAGTTAACGTGCCCCAACAGTCACTGAAAATAATTAACTTATGCTAGAAATTTCATCGACGTAAGTAAACAAGAACCAAACACACTCACGAAAGACAAAATCGTTCGCAAAATTTTCGTCGACGACGGGCGAAAACGTTAACACTGTAATTGGAAATTCGGCTTTACTATATAGGCACACACTTTAAATTAAGCATCACGGTAACAACACGTTTTAACTATGTTCACGATCTTCGGTAGTACTCACATACATTTTATCTCATAAGAAAAAATATATATACGCACATGAGAGAAAAATAAAGATCCGCCCGTATTCTAAAAGCTCATTCACACTGAATGAGTGGAGGTTCAATCTCAGCTTCTCTTGAGTGTCAATGCTGTTTTTCAGTAGCTATATAGAGGATTGATGTCGTACATTACTATGTGACTACTCACTCTCCAGCTATTTAAAAACAACATTGACACTCAAGAGATGCTCAGATTGAATCTTCACTCAATTAATGTGAGTGACCTTTTAGAATACAGGTGTAAGGATTAACTTTGTTAGCCGGTTGTCATTCAACACGTAACTCACTATATGGTACCGCTAGAACAATCACAGGAAGCCGATTGCCGATTCAGCAGCCTTATAACATTGTCCAAATTTGAAAAAGTTTGTGCATATAAAAACAACATAACACGCCGCATCTTCTCCGAATATATAACTCATAACAAAAATATATATATATACACACATGAGACAAAAATAAAGTTTTTAAAAATTTTGGGTTGTCTAAATACTGAACACAATCAACCAAACTACGTACGGCTGTAAAAGAAATATCTAGAACATTTGTTACCCTCAATATTCGCGAGAAATACGTTGTATTTTCAAAAGATTCTGCCTCAGCAAGACTGGCCATCTATGACTATAAATATAATATCACAGAGATCAGGCAGAGACCATTACCAGTGTTTCCACTCTCCAAAAGGTAAGGGCCTTCCAGGGAGGGGGGGGCACTGGCGGCAATTTGCGCCGGCCCCCCAGTTTAAGGGGGACCCCAAACTTTTCAATTTTTGCTATAAATAATGGTATAACACATTTATTGATCGAAAAAAAGGGTCTGACCCATGTTGTAATAGGAATTTGTGGGGAAAAAGTTTTTTGAACCTTAGTTTAACTCGTGTTCGACCAGAAAACTTTTTTGACCCTTTTTTAATGTCCGGAAAAAGTTTTCACCCCCTCCCCCGCTCGCCAACCTTTTGGGGAAAGATAGGGCCCCCGAAACAAAAATTTTCGCCAGGCCTCCGAATTTCTCTGATAGGCCCTGATTATCGTAATCGCCATTTTATATGGAAATAATTATAAGTCGATGGCATTACGATGTCATGTTAGCAATGTTAGTATGGCCACGGTTGTCAGTGCACGAAGTAATTATTGAAGACAATAAATTATTTTTATGAAACCGTTGTCGCGAATAATGATTTTTAAGCTTCGGCCTTCGCATTGCCTGCTCGCCTTCCAAGGGGCCCGCCGTGGCGTTCAAAAGCGTACGAGATTTTGAAATTAGGTGGTCTCACAAACTATTAATCAAATATGATCTTTTGAAGCTCAAGGTTGTGACTATTTCCACAAAAGTGGCTTTATCGGCCTTTACGTGTCACCAAAACAAACACATCCGCTATGCGGAACAGAAGGTGACGATGGATGTGCTAAATCCCATATCAAATGGCATGCATGCTTTGAAACAACCGGATGGCAATCGGGCAATCGAAATGCGGCCAATGCCAATAAATGGCAATTTTAATTCAGCTATAATTTGTAATTATGAAACATAGTGATCTATCGTTAAATTAATTAAACAGTAAGCATACAAATAAATGTGAAACAAAGTTTCATATCTTATAAGTTACAAAATTAATTCACCTACTGTATAATAATTTTAACATTCAGCCCTGAAATGAACTCTGAACAGCATGCGTCTTAATTATGCGGTTTAACTAGTTACACTCGTAAGGGCATTCTTCGCTACACTGTTCATAACTGCGATTAACGTAACTGGCAACCGCGTCGCTTAAAAGTATTTCGCTTCTCAGACAATTCCTTACTAAAGAAACACCAGTCCTGAAATAGTTTTAAATAAACGCGTATGTTTATAGTCGCATACAGAATTATCGGAATAAACCAACTGATAATTGTATATTGAATATCTTATATTTCATTAAAAAATAAGTGAATGTTTAATCAATGTTTGTAAATCGGATAAAGATGCGATCCTGATTTACATAAACTTTAGCTTTGATTTTTGCGCCTTAGACAATGTTTATTTTTAAAAATACTTCGTCAATGAACTCATAAGATGGGTCGTTATTTAAGCACTTGCATATCAGATAAAGACCGACTGCTCATGTTTTAACTAGTACTTAATAGGCCCTGTAAACTGTAACTATCAAATGGCATACAAATAATTTACACATTGCATATATGCCTGACAATTATACATTCAACGCACAATTCAAATCCCCATTTGACATATGCGTATCCCATTGGATCCAATGGACAACTCTAATGTCCACTGGACATATCTATGTCCATTGGATCCAATGGACAACTGAAATGTCCATTGGACATACGCCTGTCCAATGGATCCATTGGATCCAATGGACCATTCGACATACTCCCTTTGCCTTCTCACAGGCCTGCTTACCTGCATGGAATCGATGCCCACATATTACGTCATTCGAAATAACTTATTTACTGCACAACCAAATGTCCAGTGGACATATTCCTGTCCATTGGATCCAATGGAAAATCAAATGTCCACTGGACATATCTATGTCCATTGGATCCAATGGACAAGTGGAATGTCCATTGGACATATGCATGTCCAATGGATCCATTGGATCCAATGGACCATTGGACATACTCCCTTTGCCATCTCACAGGCCTGCTTACCTGCATGGGGTCGATGCCCACATATTACGTCATTCGAAATAACTTATTTACTCCACAACCAAATGTCCAGTGGACATATTCCTGTCCATTGGATCCAATGGACAAATCAAATGTCCACTGGACATATCTATGTCCATTGGATCCAATGGACAAGTGGAATGTCCATTGGACATATGCATGTCCAATGGATCCATTGGATCCATTGGACCATTGGACATGCTCCCTTTGCCATCTCACAGGCCTGCTTACCTGCATGGGGTCGATGCCCACATATTACGTCATTCGAAATAACTTATTTACTGCACAACCAAATGTCCAGTGGACATATTCCTGTCCATTGGATCCAATGGACAAATCAAATGTCCACTGGACATATCTATGTCTATTGGATCCAATGGAAAAGTGAAATTTCCATTGGACATATGCATGTCCAATGAATCCATTGGATCCAATGGACCATTGAACATACTCCCTTGCCATCTCGCAGGCCTGCTTACCTGCATGGGATCGATGCCCACATATGACGTCATTCGAAATAACTTATTTACTGCACTACCAAATGTCCAGTGGACATATTCCTGTCCATTGGATCCAATGGACAAATCAAATGTCCACTGGACATATCTATGTCCATTGGATCCTTATGCCTGTCCATTGGATCCAATGGACAAATCAAATGTCCACTGGACATTTCAATATGTCCATTGGACATCTTGCAGAAGTATTGGACATTAATCCGGATATACACTCAGAGTAACATCACAAACATCATATTCACCTGAGTACATAACATTAACACAGAAAAAAATCATGATTACTAGATTGCATTGATATCGAAGGAACTATACTAGTAAGTTCCGAAATATCACACACTCGAACCGACCGCTGACCGCGTAGCTCAGTTGGCAGAGCATTGGGCAGGTATTCCAAAGGTCGTAGGTTCGATTCCCACCGTGGCCAGTCATATTTTTCAAGCTTGACCGGTGTGGATATACACTCAGAGCAACATCACAAATTTTGTTAAATTTGGAGAAAAAGTGGATGAAAAAATAGAAAATGTTTCTCTTGCTTTGCCGAACAGAATAAAATTGAATGCGTACTTAGAACATTGCATAAGTTATGCATGATATATATACGTATATTATATAATTCGCGGGTGAAGGTATGTTGTCTCTTAGTGCCCTCTGGTTCTGTAATGTCGGGGGAAAATGTGTTTGTTGGGAAAATGCTGCTCTTGCCCGCTATTCTTCATAAAAAATATGCACTTTGATAGGTAGTGATTCTAATTAATTTGGGCCAACGATAGCCGAAAATTGGGAAATGTGGTCGAGGTTGATCATCGAGACCTTCATTGACCGGCCGATGAAAAGCTTTAAAAAGGTTCTGCTGACGCCATATCGCGTGGTTTGAAGCCCGGATGAAACGAGGATGAGAGTGCACGAGAGTTGGTAGTCACGCGACCTTCGTTAGCTGTTCTTAATGCTTTGCAAACACTATCATGTATTCTATTTAAGTTGAAAAATACTTGGAACACTCATCAAACTTTTATTTTGTTAATCTACAGCTTAAAATGTATCCTGTGACAATTCGTGACTTGTAACTCTCATCAACCCTCAGTAGTCCCGCTTGACTTCCACTTATAAGTGTATCATTATCATAAATTAAATACAGGGGTGAGTGACCGTGCAACTTGTGCGACTGGAACGCAATAATATTTTTCAAAATTCATATTTGCTGTGAACGTAGTCTTCCTTTTCTTAGGAATTTGTTTTCAATAGCGGTCCAGCAAGGATCATCTGTTATATTGATCCAGTATTACTACAGGAGGAAACCTAAACTAAATTATATTTATATTGCATAGATATATAGCTCTATCAGTTCTAAATCAGTATGATGAACTCGTTCTATGTTGTGGCTCGTGTTTAGTGTGTTTGTACATCTTCACTGCCGTTCATGCGGTATTTTTACATACAAATTTCCATGAGCTTGCATGTATACTTATAAAATATGAAATATTTTCAAACACATCAAGATACATGCAGAAGCGTGCTATGTCTTCTTTATATTAGCATTTTATGATAATGAAATAGTGTGCTTGTATATATATGTCATTTATACACTTGAAATTCAGATGTTATACTTAAAACACAACGCTTTTATTTTTACGTCTAATTCTTCTTCAGAAGTCCCTTGAGGATGGAATCTTATTATTTTATCAACCTCGTATTCATATTCGCTGTGAACGTATTCTTCCTTTTCTCAGGAATATGTTTAAATTCCTTGGTCATACTCAGTTTCTGGAGGTCTGTACAACTTCGAAAGAAATTATGTTATTTCATGGTAATGGTTTTGTCCTGTTGCGATTTGCTGGCGGTTTTAACTAATAATCCATTGATAGCCCTTATCATGATGTCATGGTTGACGGGAAAGTTGGGTGTAAATGCTAGATGGGCTTATATTTCCTTTACATCAACAAACAGTTTCCTAGTTTTTTCATTTTTCGCTCTTTTGGTAATGAATTTCGATCGAAATTTGGCGACATCTTATCCTATCTTTCATCGAACATCGGTAACGAAGGGAAGACTTTTAACTCTTCTTGCAATACTGATCATCGTCGAAGTAATTTTGGCAGTGCTGTCTTTAAACCACTTTGTTATTTCCTTCCAAGCACATATTCTAATTATATTTATTCTTTTCATCCCTGCAATCAATGTTAATTATCAACTACAAACTGTTTCTAGTCGTCAGGAAAAGTCGTAAAAACAAAAGAATCTCACCTGAGATGAAAAAGACGATTTCTTTGAAAAACATATCCAGTTATTTGTTAGTAGTCGCTTGTGTTGTGGTGATATCCATACCAGGGTGCATCTACGTTGGATTAAGAATAAACTCGCCAGACAAAAGGTATACTTTGGATTATGCAAGCCTCGCAGTAACGTGGGCTACAACCTTAGCTTTGATGAACTGTACATTTAACTGTTTAATATTTTACTGGAAAAACAAGGTGTTACGTACCGAAGGATGGAAAGTTCTGAAAAGCCTGAAAATATGTCGACGGGCTGAAATCTATAGCTGCACTAATAACCCTCCTTCAAAATAAAACTTAATGCTCGAAGCAAACTCTATTTAGTTTGTCCTTACACTGTTTCCTCTTCGCTCATTCTAACAATATCTTGGTCATATATATTAAACGCGGACATAACGAACTATACACTGTCTAATATTGTTCTACTGTATATATAGTAATACGCATATCATCTTCACTACTATCACTATTAGAAAGAAAGTAGCTGTAACTAGTGTATATAAGGCACTGTTATGCTTGTAATATCATCCATTCCAGAAGATGACTGAAATAGTCGACGTATAGTAAAATAAATATATTTTCATTTCTTTAAGTTATAATTTCATTACATACATGGTGTATAAAAAAATTGCGATGTTATATTGTGTGTTAAGTTTTGGCTATGTGGATTTAATTTTCCCATCCTAATAAAGATTAGGCCTTTAGCTATCCAATGAGATATTTTTGTATCATTGCGTTAAAAACTGCATGAACTAACACGACCGATTTAGAATGGCTGATTTTTCTGCCGTTCCTTGATAATTGCAAACGCGAATGTCTGAGTGTTGAAATTATTCTGTGAAAGACAGTCAAAATTTAAAAGAATAACAAAGAATAGCTCTCAAAAGAATACGCAAATAATCAAACTAAGAATGATCTAGACTTGGCAATCAAATTTAAAGATGATTTAATTTAACTGGCGATTAGACAACCAAATTTTCTGGATTAGACATTTTGCGAAACTTGAAGTTTGCAGAGAACTTGCAATGTCTATACTAGAAATACATGCATGCAACAAGCCCTCTCCTATATTTTCCAAACATTTTTGTGTCAACATAAAGTATTCGTAATTACGCCAACACTGAACGCAGGCTCGCGTTGCACATCATGTTAGTCGTCGCAACACGATAGTTGTTTATAAATTTTTTGTAGCATAGAGAAGAAAAAATCTTTGATGTAGTTTGCTCATCTAATTCAATGTAGTCAGCATCTTCTGGGTGATCTGAAAACCCAAGCGTCCATGCCATAAAATTAAACAAGACAGTTGATATATTTTAAACTTAACCCTAATCCTAACCCTAGACCTAACCCTTACTCTAATTTTAACCCTAATCCTAACTCGATCTAACCCTTTCCCTAATCCTAACCCTAATCTTAATCCTGACCCTAATACTTTCCCTAATCCAAACAATTACAATACTTTCCTTAATCCATACCCTAAAAGTCTAAAAATATTAGTAACTCCCCCTAAAACGTGACTCGTATTATACGCTATTTTACCAGTTTCTGACGTATGAAACTGTTTTCAGGTGGCTATTTCAATTGAGATTTCCGTTTTCGACTTTCGTCTTTCTCTTGAAACATCACAGGTTTAATTAAAACTTGGAAAGGTTTATATGATTGTATGCCGTTCACTCTGTTATGTTAATATATGCCCCAGTATTTTTCTACTGCATTTTGAACTTTATAAATACATTTATAAGTTTAGCATGATAGTTTATGTCTTATAGTCTGACTCTATAGAGTTCTGACTATATTAATGGCAATTTGCATGCATGTGCATGTGCTGACAATTTCCATGCATGCTGATGCATGCTGCATGTATGCACTATGACGCATGCGTGCACTCACGTTGAATGCATGCAAAATGATGAATGCATTCTCTGCATGCATGCAAAAAAGTAACAATTTGCCAACTACGCACGCAAAAATCTCACATCTTGTTGCAAGTCTGCCAACAAGTCGTCAACAAGTTGTGCTCGCACTGCTTTTCCCAAGTTGTCAACAAGTTTGACACACGCTATTAACAACTTGAAACAACGTTGTTGATATTATCAGGCTTGTTACAAGGATGTTCCAACAAGCCCGATACAGTCATGATACAGCAATTACGTCAACCTTTTGTCATCAACCTTGCAACTTGCTTGCAAAATCATGACTGAATAAGATTTGTTAGAACAACTTTGCTACAAGTCTGATAATGCCATCAAGCTTGTTACAAGTTGTTAACAGATTGTTCCAAACTTGTTACAACAACTAGGAACAAGCAGTGCGAACACAACTTCTTGACAGCTTGTGAACAGATTTTATAACAACTTGTTTGCAGACCTGCCAGACCTGTAACAACTTGTGCGTTTTTACGTGTGTATATCGCATGCATGCTATATGCATGCACTCAGGGCCGTAACTAGACGCGGTGATTGGGGGGGGGGGGGGGGGGGGGGGTGTGTGAATATTCATATACATGTGCCAATTTGCATGCATAAAAGTGTCAATTTGCATGCATAAAAGTGTCAATGTGGCATGCATGCATTACCGTAAACCTTCGAATATAAGCCCCCCCCCCGTGTATAATCCCATCACATGTACTAACGCTCACTTCATTCCAAATATAAGCCCCCCCCCCGCCGAATATATGCCCACCCGAATATAAGCCCAGTTGTTTATCACTCATTAGAATAACAATATAACTCATTATCTATGTTAGTCAACGTTTATTCATAAATCTGGTCCTTCACCGTCACGTGTGTATTGTATTTTTGCCAAATCCACCAATAGCAATTTCCAATTTACCCTATTGTTCGAGTCATGGATAGGTAACT